ATGTCGACTATTTTAAATTCCACCATAATTACTACGTTAGAGCAGCCTTAATATAAACTATTGAAATTATTAATTTATGCTGTAAGACTGAAAAATTAATTCATATGTGAATTGATCCTAAAAATAATCTTAGTTATAAATAAAAAAACATATCATTCTTATTCAGACCATAAATATTCAACTAATGTTGTGAAACTGCAAAAGTATTAATTCAATTACTTTAAACTATTTAAGTACCACCCTAACCGTCTCCGTTGGAACCACACTAATAGTATATATATATGCATATTTTAAGTTGTCCGCCACCTCCCAAAGCTGTCATACCGCTTTCCCGCTTCCATTCTAATGCTTAGCTTCTTGCCCGTTGGTGCACCAGTGCGTATGCGCAATTTAAACTATTTTAGTTAAATTTTTTATTATACGTACACTTCTTGCATCCGTTTTAAAAATGTGCGCACATGTGTGCGTTTAAGAGGTTTTGTGGCGCCGCTGCTGGAATATATGTGCTGTTTGTGAAGTTGTTTTTTTGCTTGTGAAAATTGTTAAATATTTTTCAAATAGTTTCGAAACTGTTGCGGCTAATGTCAAAATTTGCTGGATATTTAATTTTAATATTTCATTTTTGCAATATATGGCAGTTTGCGTGCATTCAGCATGAAAAGGCATAATTGAGTGCTGTTAAAAATAAAAGTCTTCATATATCATGAGAGTGATATGAGAAAGAAAAATTTCGAAATATTGTTTTTAACTGCAATTTCTTATGTGCGGATATTTTGCGATTACGGTGGTAGGTCTGAATTATATTAAGTTGTTGTAAATGGAGAATATTTTGAAAATATAAGCAATATTTACAATTTCGTATTGCAAGAAAATTTTTTTGCTTCGCTTTTTAGCACAACCGACACTTAGAAATGTTAAGGTTCTTTGAAGCTCTAAGTAGAGATAAAATATGATATTTTCTACTAAAATATAATATAACCCAGAAGTTTACAAATAATCTGAGGAGCACACCTAGCAAGGTCGATTTAAAATCAGTATATGAAATATACTATATAAAAAATGCAAAGCCAATTTGCACACTAGGTGTGCCCTTTAAGTTAAAACTAAACTGACCGAGTTGCCATGACACCACAACGGTGTCTAAAACTTTGAAAATTGTTTTGTTTTTAAATATTTAAAAATCAATATGTTAACAAATTTTGTTCCATTTTTTTAAATTTCTTAACTAAATATTATATTATATATCTCTCTGGGAATAATATGCCGCCGAGGGGATTTAATACCCATTCCAGCTATCTAAAAGGTCACACAACTTGGTATTTTGTTGTTTTTATAATCCAGCATCGCTAATGTATTTGGTATATATAATTTATATACAATATATAATTATACTCCTTTAGAAATAGATTTGCCTTCTGGTTTTGTAAACAGCTATTAATATATTGTATATTAGTTGCTGCTTTAAATGATTGTACCATTCATTATTTCGACACATAACTCTCTAAATCTTGGCAATACAAGTGACTGACTACGTTGAATCCATGGACTGTCAATAGCGCCACAAAAGCAATAGTTTAATAATGATACATGCAACACGAAAGGACGAGCTAAGTTCGGATGTAACCAAACTTTTAATACTCTTGCAATTTGCAAGGATCAAAGGTGGGGAAATGCCTTCAGGTGCTGGCAAAACTTTGTATTAAAAAAGGTAGCGAAAGAATTCAGCATTTATTATTCGACGAAATCGTGAATATATTACAATCAAATTTGGTATTTTTTGCTATATTTTACTTCGCGTCAGCAAAACTTCAATCAAAATCATCAATTTCTATAGTAAATAAACTTATCCAAAGAAGCTAAATTTAATATACTGTGATGATGTGAAAAACGTCTTCCAGAATTTTGTATTAGGTATATGAAACAAAAGAAAAGTATTAACCCGATTTTATCTATCTTTGGCATTGCTACATATAATCAGTAGAAAAAAATGTTCCATTAAGTTCCATTAAGGTGCCTCACATACCATCAACAATATATAAGGAGTAAAGTCAACAGGATGGCTCAAAATCCTGATCATCGATTATATAGGGGGACCGGGTAGTTTGCAAGCGATTTTCTCTATTTTATGCACAAAGGTAAATTGTTATTAGAAAAACACGCTTACCAAATTTTATTTGGAAAACTCACATATTCGCCGATATGTGCCATATAAAGTCAGCCGGGAGTTAGAAAATATTTCTATTGCGTATATGGGAGCAATACTTCCCATTGATCCGATTTAACCCTCTTTTGATCGCTCAGACATACTAATATATTAAGTTGTTGTAAATAGAGAGTATTTTGAAAATAAGCAATATTTACAATTTCGTATTGCAAGAAAATTTTTTTGCTTCGCTTTTTGGCACAACCGACACTTAGAAATGTTAAGGTTCTTTGAAGCTCTAAGTATCAGCAAAATATTTTCTCCGAATTTCACTTATATATCTTAATAATTGAACGATATTTTTGGTAAAAAGTCAGCTATAGCCATTGGGGCCCACAGCTTCGGTATTAACAGTTATTTTCGTTTCTTGCTTCTTACACTTGAGATGCCATACGTTACAACACTATTTGTGTAAAGTTGTATCCCATTATATTTATTGGTGTTTAGTTTGTATACTAGAAAGTGATGCAATTCAAAGTTTCGTTAATTTTTTTTTCTTCGGTTTAGTGATATTTGGAATATTTCTTTATAACTATGTTTATAACTTAAGACTTACTAGAATTGTACTTGTCATATATTCCAGTTTTAAAACTGAAATCAGTATTTAATTCTGAACGAATGCCTTGATCAAACAAGTCTAAGTATGTATGTATATATAGGACGATTGTTTATCATTAACAGGTTCACAGTCGGTCTGGTCGGTTTTTTGCGGAGTTACGAATTTACTAGTTTTAAATTAGCAACTCACATGTATTTAATTTGAATTAAATTTTCTTAACGTTTTCTGCTCTCAATTTGCCACACTTTATTTTATATTCCGATTCTTTCGAAATTTAATGTATATTTGATACTAGCTGCTTATATCTTCAATGCGCATGTAATAATTTTGATAACGGGATGCTCGTCTGAGTGCGTGCTCAGCTGGTGAAATGTCTACGTTGTAAGCACCAACGTAACTATCCGTTAACTTATTTTTTTTGTTTTTATTATATAAAAGAAGCGGTTGGCCAACTTTTTCTAGCAATAAAATTATATTTTTTTTAACTACTTCTTCAAAAGTGCTACAAATCACGAGTTCAGGCTGCCAGCGGACTATCTTTTTACCCTTAATTTGTCTATATTGTCTACAAGCCTTTTGTTTAACGCAAATGACACCCGGTGCCGTGTCTTGGATATCTTGACTCCTTCAGACTTTGATCTTTTGATCGATTCCAGAAAAAAGTAAACTACAAATTTATAGCCATTATTCTATCGAAATTTGAAAGTCTCTTAAATTTAGCAAAAAAACTCCTTAAATTAGGCAAAAATTATACTTTTTGAATAAAAAAAATATTTTGCTTAAACAAAAAACTATAATTTTTTAATAAAATCTTATCTTCACCAAATAAAATGTTTCTGATTTATGGCTCGAAAGGCATATTTTTAATCATAGTTTTTGGCTTGACTAAATCGAAATGAAGCAGTGTATCTTCCAAAAATATAATTATCATAATTTAAGTATTTATCTTTAATTTGTAGCACCCTGTAATAGCATATTTTTTATCTACTTTTTACTTTGATTCCGAACCTCTATGCGCTTTACGAACAGCAGTTATGCACTCGAAACACGCCTTACTTACATACTTATATGCGCCTTTGCTATGCCATTAGCCCTCGAGCAGTCAAGCGGCAAAGATTAAGAGGCAAAATTTGGCAATGTCGGAAATAGTTTTGAGAGTCTTTTGTACGCTGCCAATGAACGATCAACTACGGCGGCTATATGGGTAGTATATATGTATGTCTTTATATACGTATATATATGTATGTGCGCGTGTCTTCAATATAAGCCACTGCATTTATCTGGCTCTGTAGGTTGGGTGTGGCGAAATTTACGATTTGATAAATTTTACACTTAAACCTTTCCATAAGCGACAGCGTCGGCAAGACCATTCCCACAGCCGCAACAGAGCACTTGTCAGCGCATGCAACAAAACACATATACGCCAACTTTCAACGGTGCATATTAAACACATAGCCACTTAGAGCGGAGCTTACGAGCTTTGAGGTATACTCACACACATACATATATGGTGTTTCTCTTTCAACGTATTCTATATACTGTATATGTATATACGCTTGTGTAGCAGTCGAAGGGCTCTGCTTGTATTTGTGTCCGCCGTTCCGCAAACCGTAAATCCAACAAATAGCTCGATAAATGGTGTCAGCACTTGGTGCAAGCAAATAAAATTGAAAATTTCTGCATTTTCGTTCAACTTTTTCGGCGCAATGAAGTGGCGCAGCTTTAAGGGCTTTGGCACTTTTATAAGCCTAAAATTATGCTAATATGTTTCGAAAGCGTTCGAATTTGAACTACATTTGAGAGCTTATGGACTTATCAAGCACCGATTACTATTATTTTGCAAACATTAAAGTGTGCAACCAAAATAATAAAGAGCTCGTACAACAATCGCAGCTACATCAAATAACTTTGTTTGAGAATTTCTTTCGGGCTAGCTATGGGCTTAGTACCTAAGGGTTAAGAACAAGTAGTTCAAAATGGTGATGAACTAAAATGAAAGCAGTATTAGATTTATTAAAGAAAAGCTTGAGAACATGATTCATAGGTGTAAGAAATTTCATGGCAAATACCATAGACCTGGCTGACCAATTACACATTTAACCAAAACGACAAATAAATAAATAAGAATGTGACAAAGTTACATAACATATTTTTATCATATATAATTTCATACAAATATTTAAATAAGAAAATTGTGAAATTAATATTTATTTCTTTCTTTCTCCATCATAGGGGTGGACCTGGCCTAAGATGGGGAGCGTGCTATTCACAGCTGTGTTCATAGCGTTACATTTTGCCACCGGCGGCCTGGCCAACCCAGATGCAAAACGTTTATACGACGATCTTTTAAGCAATTACAATCGTTTAATCAGGCCAGTGGGCAATAATTCCGATCGTTTGACGGTCAAAATGGGTCTACGGCTATCGCAGTTGATAGATGTTGTAAGTATATTGACTCTCTTTTACTATAATCTATGTTGACTTATAGTTTTATATATAAAAGCTACAGGAAATTCTATTTATTTCAAACATTAAATTCAAATAGATTTGTTTATTTATATTAAAACTGTTTATCACAATAAGATTGAAGAGACCTATCATTAAATTAAGTATTGATGGCACATGCTTCGGCGAAAAATCAAGAACAGTCTATAAAAGTGGAAACTGAAAGTAAGATAATTTTTTAGAACTGCAATTATTATATATCGTATTAGCGACGAGATCCTGTATCAAGCCCATGGGTTTACTTGTTACTTGGGAATTACATCTGCATATTAATGTACAAGTTACGAAGCTTATGCTGTACTAACTTTTTATACAAAAATTGACAACAAGAAGTCACATTCAAATTTAGTAACATTAGTTTGGAAACATTTTTATGTAGAGTCGAGCCTCAAAATTAACAACAGTAAATCCATCATTCTAGTAGGTCATACCTTCCTAGGTCCGCCTAGATTTTGAGGAAGCCCATTGTGAAACCACCTGGATTAAAATCCGCTCACTCTACTATGCCCTCTCTGAACCACCCCGTGCTTCTGATGAAGTTGATCAGTATAAAAAATGTTTGTCTGTGCAACCTCCGAAATATCGTCAAGCAACGCTCAACCGATAGCTGCGATACTTTTCCTATACAAAGCTTTGAATTCACATAGAAGTGGTTTAAAGTCTTCTCTTTTCTACCTTCTGACAGCTTCCACAATAGTCATTATAAAGAGTTTCCAGTCTGCTGGCATATCTGCCAATTAGGCAGTGACCAGTTAGCACTCCTACTACATTTCTTATGTCACGCTCTTTGAATTTTAATAGTCGGCATGTGCGGTAGGGTGCAGCGAAAATTTTTTTTCTTTTTTTGCTTAGACTGAGGGTAAAATTTGTAGATTATAAAAACAAAAAAAATTTTGGAAAAAAAAAAATAAATAAATTTTTTTTAACATCTAGAGGCCCACTCACTTTTAAAGTAAATTTTAAGTTAAAATTTGTTTTGGACAAAAAAAATTTTTTTTTTGGTATAACTCTTCACATTTATATAAAAATTACCGAATTTGGCGGTTTTTGACTCAAGATTTATTTTAGGGCTTAAGAAAAGCAAAAATTTTATTTCGCTCCATCCTAATGTGCGGCCCACGTTTACCTGCTTGTTGATTAGATTTAGAGTGCGCCTTATTACAGACGACTAATGAAGAAGATTTCCTCAGTCTATGAGCTGACTTCGGTGCCAGCTGCTTTCAGAACAAGTCTGCATCCCCTACAAATGTAATTTTTGTAAATGTTTGTTCCCATTTGTATGCCTAGAAACTGGTTATCAAGGAATTCAAACTTCACTAAAGTGGTATCTCAAACAATCAAATATTTTTTAACCACTCAACGGCCTAGTTGGAAGCCTTTTAAAGCAGTACTAAATTTGTGAGGAAAATAAATAAAATTTAGAACGCTCAAAATAAAAGTTTTTTCATGAGACCTTTTACTTGTATAACATACAAGGTTTGATGCACGGTTAGGTCCCTGGTGGACCCGAAACTTACGACTCTAATTTTTTAGTGCAAAATTTTTAATAGACACATACTTATTGTCCGCAATATTGGAACCTGCATCTAAAATTATATATCTGTAAAAGTAACTACACTCAAGATCAAATATGTAGGTGTATTCCATAAGAAGAAATTACATTTTGTTGAAGTTGAGAGTAATCTTGCATGTGACAATCTGGATTTTCAAAGCGATTAAGCTTAGCGACTAGGACTAATACAGTTACCATATATAAATCAACTTACATTGTAACTGTGTGTATGGCATATGCTCTCCGCATAATCAATAAAGTATCTGTGCGTCCAACTCTTGGTGTCACAGTTGATTGAATACTCACACACTGAGACTCTTCGAATGCATTCAGCCTCAGTTCGGTGCAGTTGCATTCCTTTCGTGGATTGCAAACTTTTACATAGTCGCATGCATGTATATGTGGGCGTACCATATGTATGTGTATCTGTGCAATCCACATAGTGTGAAGAATGCGATTTAGATCGTCTCTTCTTGCCTTTGCTGCAGCAAGAGTGGATAAGGTTTCCAACCAAACAATAATTTCTGTTCAACCATTATTGCATCTTTCAACAGCAATCGTTAAATTGCCAACATTTTACACACGACTCTATCGGCAATTGACTTTTGCCGCCTTCGCAATTGATTGCTCTGTCCAGCTGCTGCGCTCAGCGCAGTCTTCATGTTGCTTCTTCACAATCCAAATGTTCCTTTGCTATATTTTTGTAGTTGTTGTAGTTGTTTTTTGTTTCTTGTTGCTTTTTTTATGCAGCATTCTGGTCAACAGCCAAGCTGCTGCCAACTACATACATACTAGTGTGTATGTATATGTATATGTGAATGTATGTGGAAATTGTTATTGTGTGCGCTCAAAATGGCGCTTGACGATTACTGTGACTGGTGTTTGTCTGCTTCTACTCGATTGATTTGAAATTTCCAATTCTCCTGTTCGTTTTATTTTTCTTGTGATTGATTTTGCTGCAGTTCGTATACGAAATATTTCAACTAAATTCGAGTTTGGCTGTACACATTGTCTGAAGGTGTGTTAAAATGCAAGTAAATATAATTATGTAGGTATGTATAAGTTGTGATTCCATATAGTAATGCTATTCAAGTAGGCATAAGACAAACGACGAAATTAAATATAAGGAAATTTTTATAAACATTTTGTGTTAAAAATTATAATACTAGTACTAAAGACTAAAATATAGGGAAAAAGTAAGGAAGAGCTAAGTGCGGGTATAACTGAATATTTCATACTCTTGCAACTTGCAAAGATAAAATCCGGGGATTGACTTGTAACTTTGCATGCGTTCTCACGACAGATGTACTAACTTTAGAAAAAAAATGTGGAACTAGTAGTGCTATTTCCAACCAAATTTTCAACCAAGATGTATTTTAAAGGGGCTATATGAAGGCTTAACTTTTTTGCTCACCTCCGGTCAATTTACAGCAAAAGGCAGATAGGCTTCAACAGGTAGGGCAGCTTGGGTTTTCAGGGTTATGGACTTTTTGTCATCATAGATACAAAAAATATTTTTGTTCGCTGTGTCACGAATCGAAATGCAACATTATAACTATTATAAGTCACAAAAACAATTTTAAGACAAACAACCGCTCTTTCTCTCTCCTATTTTTACTGCAACAACTCACGTCTCCGTTCTCATCTCTCTTCGAATTAATGTCTTTCAAAGCGCAGCAACAACAGATTGCGATCAAGCAAACCTTTAGCGCCATTATTTTAATAAATTAAATGTACTTTAGACAATCGGCAAATCCTTTCGTGGTGGAACTCGCACGTAGAATGGCTATTAAGGCACGAGAAGACGTAAGATAGGAGCAAAAAGAAAAATTACAACCAGATTACCACCTTCAAGCGACTCCATGGCTTACACGAAAATTACATAATAAAGCAGTTTAGTCGCTGAGCGCTTGGAAAGAAAGAAAGAGATCTTGATTAAGAAGCCAACACAAGCAAAATGCATAAGTCACACAAATACCGATATATAAATTTAACTTTTAAACACACAACGAAATTGCAATTAAATGGCGTCTCCTGGCTCTGAGCACATGCACATGCCAAACAAGTATTTGGCCAACTGTACTGAACGTATATACGTGTGTGTGTGTGAGTGTCTGTCTGCCATTTTTATTTTGGCTTGTGCGCTTGCCAAAATAACCATATATCCTGCTTCATTCGTATCTTTGCGGTTTACGACTTTCACACTTTGCTTATTTCCGCCATGCCAAGCAACCGCAATCACACTGATACAGGCGACTTACACGCACACACACACATGTATGCACGAATATATCACTTTTATGGCAATCACTACATCTACATTTATATTGCACTTAAATAAGACAAAAAGTGGCAAGACACTGCAAAGGGAGCAAATAGGCAGACGTACCTAGCGGACGGAGTAAAAATGCCAGAAAACAAACAACAACAATAAGTAGTGTTATAGCAATAATAGCAGCAATAACAGGCATAATAGTAAAATCCAGCCGACTGGTTGGTGAAAATTTATGACCACAAATGGCATTTGCCGCCTTAACGTGTAGTTGAAGCTTCCTTTTAATTTAAAATTTTAATTGGCCATTTCCTTTTCATTCTGCTAAGTAGACAAGCGTGTGCTGTGTGCATGCCACCTTGCGCTGCGCCAAGCAAAGCACTCACAGTTACTTGCCAACACACAGATAAGTCGCTCAAAAGCAAAACTGTCACTTATGCATACACACATACATATATACATCCTTAGACATATACACACGTATAAACACAGTTATATCCACTAACTTATATTTGCGTGGTAGGCAGTTAGACTGCAAGCTGTGTGTGTGTGTGAGTATGTGTATACAGTACTAAAGCACAACTCATAAACAAACACACACACACGCAGGCTCGTTTGTAGATCTGCAGGCGTGCTTGTGACTTTGCTTTGATTTAGCACTGCCACCAGCAAACAGCAATAAACACCTCAAAAGCGCTCATGAAGCACCACGCTTTGTCATGCCGCGCCATGCCTCTCCCTGCTATGCTATGCCATGTCATGCCCATAAGCTGTGCATGCAAGCAGCAGCTGGCAGCATGTTTGCGTATACAACTGAATGCGTAACCACTTTGCGTTGCCGAGTGAAAAAATTGGTATGGAAATGTACAAAGGCGCATTCACTGAAAACAACGCTGGCAGCATAAACGTCACTCATGGAGTTCCTTAACATCAAAAAGAGGTTTTTTGCGCTTGTTCTTTTGGTTGGCTTCTTTTTTGTTTCGCTATTTTTTTCGTTTGAAGTTGTACACCTTGCTGCATCACGTATTTTGCAATAATTTTGTTGTTGAAAAATTTTAAAAATATTTCATGAGATATGTTTAATATGTAGCATGAGAGTTGTAATTTGATGAT